AAATGAAGCAAGTCTAGATTTCATCAGGTCTGAAGCTCTGGTCTCCCTGGGGCTCCTTTTCAATTTAAATGGGTTGCTGCTAACAAAATTATATATATTCAGAGACTACGTGTTTGTCTACAATCACCTCAAAAGCTCATAACATGGTAATAAAACTGTGATTCACACTTCAATGCTTCTGTACATTACAGTTGTGTAAAAAACAGTCCTAAATGTCCTGGCGATGTGTATGATCCAAGTCTTAGTTCCACTGTCTCAACTGACACAGTTGTAGCCGTTCTGTCGTCATCGTCACTGCACACAGCCAAGCAGCATATCAGGTTACGCGATCATACAGTCGCAATAGCAACCAACACTTGTTGATGTAATGACCAGGTTTGAATTTAATTGGAATATGAGCGCCGCAAATGGACACTCTACTAGAGTACAACAGCTTTTGCGCCTAACATGATTCCTGAAGAGATATTGAAAATGTTCACACTGACCAAGAACAGACAATTTACTGGCAGCACACTTTTCAGTTACATGCTCCCAGGTTTTAACATGGACAGTGATATTGGAAGTTGTATGTGGCTCTCGAGGGTAATATGGTCTTATGTACGCCTCTTTGTAGCAGTGTCACAAGAGCTGGTAGGCGAGGAATGACACTGCTACAAAAAGGCGAACATCAGACCGTATTACCCGAGGGAGAAGCATAGAACGTATATTTTACCGCAATGTTAAATGTACAAAATATTTTTTATATTTCTTCTTTAAAGATAGCTACCGACTATATGACATATAAACAAAATGGCCTCTGTATGTCGACTGGGTTTTAAAATCACTGAAACATATTCTGACAAGCTTACAATTGCTATAAAAATGGTTAATTATGTTTAAGTTGAGTGTGCAAACGACTCAATGTATGAAATAGTTTAAAATAAGCAGGGAAAGTCAGTAAATGTGTACATAGTGAACTCAAAAACAGCTAATCGAACGATTTTCGAACTCCAGGCACTGCATGTGTCATATTATGCCGTCATACGATTGTTAGTGATACAGCTTCTCGGCGGAGAGTTTGGCAGTTACCAGGGCAGCGGGTAATATTTTTTCCACAGAAACTTGTTAAAGTGCCATTGACCAATGAAATTAAAGTATTTTTCATGAAGGTAAGATAAGTATTCCAGTACTAACTGAAATTTCAGGGATGTGTTGTCTAGGGCTGGCTAAAATTACTGATAATTGGAAATATCGTCAATAGGAAAAATTATTTATGATTACGAAATTTGTGTTAACGATAATATCATACATTAACTTGTGTGACAGAAAAAAGTTTAAAACGTACTCGCACATTATACAAAGTTAGGTCTTCATTCAAGGGCTACTTCCTCAACTATGTTCAGGACGCTGTTGTGTTATCGAAAATATTGCACATGACTTTTGTAATAGGAAAAAAGTTTTAATTTTCTCACACAATATACAAATCTAGGACTTTATTAATGGTCTGCTTCAAAATTATGTTCAGGATGCTGACTTTTAATAATTCAACATGTCACCACTCACCAGTCATGTGAAATATGTTGATTTCTTTCAGAGTGTTGATGCATTTTTGTTACTTTTTTGATATTTATCGATATCTATCAATACTTATTCATGACCTAAATCGATAGCCAGACCTAGTGTTGTTCATGAAACTGTAAATTCAGAGGTATCAAATCCTTAATATGATACCTAAAAATTCAATAAACAGTATCCATTTACTTACTTCTTGCATGCATGTGTTGTGTGTAATATTTTAGAACTATCATATCACTGATAACTATCCTTGAGCAGAACAAATACGGCACTGATTGTACTCCCAATAAGAAAACAATAGAAATCTCATAACGCATGAATGGTCACAAAATGTCCATCCAGTCTTTAAAGGCTAAGCATCTGTCAACAGCTGTTTATGATTTAGACGGAATATAATTGACTGAGTTATGGTTAAGGATAAGGAATAGTGTTAAGGTTACTTAAAGATGATATTTATGTCATTTGGTGCTAGTTTATGAGACAAAATTCAAACTTATAAACATAACAAATCAACAAGAATATAGAACTCATAATAAACTTCACACATAAATACCACAGTCAACCATTTGACTGACTTTTTTAAATCAGCATAACAAGGAACAAAACTGCAAAGAACAAATTCTGCTGACCAACCCAAGGAGTGAGTGAGTGAGTTTGGTTTTACGCCGCTTTCAGCAATATTCCAGCAATATCACGGCGGGGGACACCAGAAATGAACTTCACACAATGTACCCATGTGGGGATTCTAAACACACACACCACACCACACCCGCCAAGGAAAGCATTAGGATGAGGATGTAATATATGTGCATTTCCTCGTCAATATTTTCAACATCAGGATTTTTATTTCAGAGGTTTGGTCGATGACCTGTCTCGTTATGAAAAACACTCTACAAACATTAAATCCAAAGGGGGGAAAAGGGATGTAAATATCAAGTTTTCCTTGTAAATATTTAATTAGCTACACATCAAGATCACATTTCCAACAACACAAGGTATATACTATTCCTAACAAGCTAAACAGTACCCACTGTCATGACAGATACCAAATAATGGTAAATATTCTTTCATACTTGATAATGAATGCTATCAACCATTAACTCTTCCCGAAGCCTTCCCTCCATTAAGCCATTCTAGAATTTTAACATCAGTATCATCAGCAGTATATGAATAGTAACATGGGTTTTCTTTAATTTCTTTTGACTAGAACGTAAAGTATCCACGCCTCTTCTACCTTGTCAAGACACTGGAACTATCACTGAGAGCTCAGTCCACAAAATTTGCTTAACTAAAGTGTAAAAACAAGTTGTTCTCTACCACTATATCTCTGACAATGAATCTGACATATGTATCCGTTTAATAAGCATCTTCTTTGTCATTTGTCTAAAATCCATACCATGCAAGAGAAACCAAGCAGTTCCATTCTGAATGCGTGACAGTACTGTTCACTTACATCAGATAAGCTGGTATCTATTCTTCATTACTCTACCACAGGAACACAATCTGCTCTACATATATCATACTTATTATCATGTTAAGTATTCATCTTTTCTAACATCATGCTTTAACAAAAGAGATTATATTACATTACGGTAAGTTATAATGGTATTGTGTAATCATAAGTTATAACCATTACCGAAAAAATCAATTGTGCTTTCACATGAAGCTGTACACAAATACGCATTTGTGAAGATCCGGGTTAGAATCGGTCTTCAGCAACCCATGCGTTGTAAGAGGCTACTAACGGGATCGGGTGGTCAGGCTCACTGACTTGGTAGACACATGTCAGGGCTCAAGATAATTTTTCAACATCAGGAGTACGAACTCCGTATATTTTCAACAGAGGAGTACTGGAAAACCTTCAGAGTACATTCAGAGTACTAGTTGGAATTACAGGAGTATCAGTAATCTTGTGTTTTGTTTCATATATGCACCACAACATTGCTACTCTTTTGTAAACAGGAAAATAAACAAGAAAACAATACTTTTTAAAAAAAAACATGTCTGTAAATGATTCTAAGACCCTACACCATTGCTGTAGTGCGTATCTGCTACGTTTTCTAAATTATTTCCTACCGTATCGTGCATATTTCATATCCGTACATACGCCGATTCGGCCCTTATCTGGAGTCCTGCATGTCATCATATCCAAGATCGATGCGCCTGCTGTTGATCACTGGATTGTGTGATCCAGATTCGATTATTAACAGACTGCCACAATATAGCTGGGATATTGCTGATATTGCTGCGTGCGGCATAAAAGTCAACAAACAAAACATAATAGCCTACAGACACCTGCACATCTGAACAGATATGTCCCAGATATATACCTTCCCAGACATAACACTTTGCATTAAAGTGTAATAGTCATTACAAATCACTAATTACAAGAGATCAGCAGTAATCAGTATGTTTTACATTTCAATTTTGTAACAGTTCATACATGTATGCATCTACTTTTTTTTCAACTTTGAAGACAGCCACAATTCACAAGATATCAATAAAAGGTATCTTGTCTGTGTACCATATGTTATATTTGGGATTACACTTTCTTAGTAAAGTACAGATTCTAGTACTTTGTGGAAGCCGCGGTGGCTGAATGGTCTAGGTTTCTGACTTGTGTGCTGGCGAATAGGTGCCTGACTCTGAGGTTGTGGGTTCGAATCCTGGATGGGACTCAACCCCAAAAGTACTAGAATCTGTACTTTACTAAGAAAAAGTAATCTCAAATATAACATATGTTACACTGTACATTTGACCACTTTCTAAAATAGCATTGTGTATTTCATTGTCTGTATACAGTTACGAATTCATGTGGCTTAATATCCAAAATACACCTTTCGTATCTTTGACAACACATAAAATTATACCCACTTTCCGAAAAACTCAACAACTATACTTTAATTAAATTTGCTTCATAAAACAAAAAAACTCAAAAACCTAACAGTGGAGTGACCAGGAATTTCACACAGGTTGAAAACATTTCGCTATACAGTTTGCACCAACACGCGTACGGTATCTTATCAAATGCTTGACACGAAACATGCCTGACATATTAAACTGCGTTACTCACCTCTCAAAAATGAATCACAACCACCCCTCAGTCAAACCCAACCAACACACACACACACACACACATCGATACGCCCCCTCCGTTCGTCCCAATTCTCTCTGCCATGCTAGATGTTGCGCAATGTCTAAGAGAATGGGCGAGTGGTGTTAAATGCTACTGACAGTTATTAAATCTGTTCGAGTTTTCAGCCCGTTCCTATAGCAAAAGTCTCAAAGTCAAATCAGACGGGGCTGTTCACTGTAAATGTCAAACCTACCCGTGGTCTGACACACCCTGTTTGTTTACTGTTAACACTGACACAGGCAGTTCACACACGGAGCACCGTGGGGTAACGGGCCATATAACTTACCCCATATACTATTGGTTGACTTACCTCTACTCCCGATGTAGATACATCGAAAGGTTCAGGTCTATCTGTTCTTGTACAGTTGGAACCAGCAGCCAAGTCTACCTTTAACTTTTGTGTTACTACTACGGGTAGCAAAAAAACACAAACAGACCACAAACTACCCGTGACATCCATACCACCGCCCTTCGCCTAACTCCGAAGCTCCATGTCAAACACTGTGAGTTTGCAGTTCCACGAATTCGAAATTCAACCCAACACCACTTATCGCCCTTGTATTACTGCGTAGTACACTATCTGGGCCGCATGTTTGTCGCACTGAAATCGCTTCCTGGTCTGTGTAAGTAATTTCAGGCAGCCAACTGCGGTGGGTCATTTGCAGATAATACAAGTTTTGTAAGGACTAGATGTAGAGATAGCACGCAGTATGTTTGTTCACACGAACTTAGCTGAGCTTATTATAAACATGGTATACAAGTTTAGTGTACGGTTGATGAATTAGGTCAGTGAAATGTACGAAGATGAAAACTCAAAGAATGAGCGGGAAACGACGAAGTGTAGATCCATGATATTAGATATAAGTAGAGGATGAATGGGAGAGGGAGAGTTATCTATTCAAACAAGTTGCCAAATGTGATTGAGGAATATATTTTTTCAATAATGGATGAAGGGCTGTGTAGCCGAGTGACTTTGTGTAAGTTACACGACGAGTAAGATCCATGCTCGATCATTCCAACACGTAATGTTGGCGTAAAACAAATACTTACTCACTCACTCTTTAAAGGTGCAAGTTTACCGACTGGTCAGTCAGCGATGGCGACTGATGGTCAGTTTAATCCTCAAATCCACGTTGTTGTTTGTTTGTTTTTGTCTCGGTTTTGTGTTTTTGTTTTAGTTTGTTTATACATTATTGAAAACAATACGATATGGCACCATCCATGGATCAATAGGTCTTCTAAACATTCGGCTTCCTCCAGTGAGTCTTTTTCTGTACGGCTGGCGTGTCATAAGCTTTTCTTCATTTATATTTACATTTCCAGAGATAATGTCAACTAATATAACCCAAATGGCTTTTGATATCAAATACATCAACACGAGACAAGGCTGTCTAAAATGATCGATAATCAGAAATATCGTCGATAGGAAAAATATTAAAATCGTTATGAAAATTGTATTATCGATAATATCGTATATTTGCTATTGTGAAAATCGTTTTTAATTTAATTACATATTATACAAAGTACTGTCTTTATTCATCGGTTGCTTCTAAATTATGTTCAGGATACTGTTGTGTAAGTAGTCCATGCATAAACATGTCACCACTTACCAGGGATGTGAAATAAATTCTTTCTTTCAGAATTTTTTGGCATTTTGTAATCGATCGATATTTTGTTAGTGATTATCGATCTCTAGGATCTCTATCGATAGCCAGCCCTACAAGACCATAACAGCTTTAAACCCTGATTCTTGCCGAACTTCTAAACTTCTAAAGAGATTTCCACTTCGGCAATTATGTGCTCGTGTGATATTCTATTTATCATCCAAACTCATCTTTCCAAACTCTTTAGCGGCCTTCACACGGCAAACTAAAGTTTGACAACACATGTTGTTGAAATTTTAAAAGTTGTCAAACTCGCGTTTTCACACATGTTGTCAAACTTTCATGTCATCTGAGCGTCATGTCTCTCTCGGTGCGGTCAGGTGACAATTTTAATTGGTTGACTGCGATTGGTTGTTTCTGAACAACACGAGTTTGCCAACACTTCACACGTCAAACTCGAATTTGACAACACCGAAAGTTTGATGGAAAAGTTGGTGAGAATAGAGACCGATCCTATTTCTCGACAACAGTTTGACAACTCTGAAATTGGTGTTGGTGGCGAGTTGTTGGAATGTTCACACTCTCAAACTCGAGTTTGACAACATGTGTTGTCAAACTTTAGTTTGCCGTGTGAAGGCCGCTTTTAAGTTCAAAATCGAGTTACCTCGCTTCATTTGATTGTGACGTCAATGTAACGATGATGTCACAATGTTCTGCAAAGCATTGTGTTGCAATTCACTGATATGAGGAGTTATCACTTGATCTCAAGCGGTATATCCCACCGAGGAAGCCAGTTCGAGATGGCAGAGATTACGACAGGAGCTTGTCTCAGATACGTTTCTAGTTTTGAAACAACGACGTGAAAGATAAATGGTGAACAATTGTGTAGTCTCTGGATATATATTTTGATAGACTTTAATATATTCCTTTTAAAATGAGCCAATGAGATTCTAGCTTGCTTTATTAATCGTCTTCTGTTTGATACTCGCCATAAATCGCACCTTTTTAGGATCGAAAATATTTATATTTCATATTTTCTCACAATGTTCATGAATGAATGAGCCGCCATATTGCTGGAATATTGCTAAGTGCGGCGTAAAACTAAACTCACTCACTCATGGATGAATGAATGAATGACGCCACTCGACTCACTGATCACTACTCACACCACGAGAAACGTGTAAATAAACTGAATCATCTACATCTGGCCATTATCAAGGCTATAACGACAATGTTGACCATTCTACTTCTAGCAAGCGTACAGAAATTGATAGTGTTACGTCACTGTAATCGTTTTGATCCTTTGTCCGCTCTTACAGTTTGAATACAGTCGTCGATATCGGGTTGTTTGGGTATCTTACCACATGGTGGTACTTGTGTAAAAGTTCAATGTCCCCTGATAGACCGAAACGAAAAATATTCTGGAGTTTATCATTAGTGTAACCCGAGGATTTGAAAGTGACATTGATGAGGTTATCAAGGGGGACTACTCTTCGTAGTCACAGCCTGCTTGTTTTCCCGCAGCCCGATACTGCCAGTTGGGATCTTACTGATGTTACGATGTTGCGAGGATAAAGTGTGTGACTGTGCCTGTTACGAAGATACCCATATTATTACACGGTAACGCACGAATCTGAGGACTTGGCGAAGAATATATTGGTCAAATGAAAGCCGATTCCTTCTTCATGCAACTGATAAGCGCTTGGAAGTTTGGAGGCAGCGTGATGTAGCATTTGCATCAAAAGACATTCAATTGTTGCCTTTGCTGGAGGTTTTGTCCTGGTGGGGATGAGTCTCTCATGACTGTAAACTTGACTTGGTGACAATACGTGGGGATTTGACGGGTGATCAGTAATCCAGGACGTTCTGGATCCAGTTGTTGTCCCCAATTTCAATAATCATCCTTTTGCTACAGTATCTGTATTTATGGATGACAAGGCCACATCGTTGTCGTGCAGTGACAGCTTTCATTCAGAGTAGTGTAGTGACCCACCTTCCGTGGCCCACCATGAGTCAAGACCTGCACCCCCTGGAGCACATTTGGGACGTTTTCGGCCAACGGATGCAATTTAAGCATGAACCACCTGTACAATATCTGAAGCAGCTTTGTACAAAGAATGGCGAAGTAGGGTATAGGCAACGCCACGTTGAAGGTACACAAGATATTGATTATACAACGTTCCCAGGTTACAAGTAGAGTTATGCTCGTTTTTCTATGTTTCCATAGGCATGCATTAAAACATTTCAGTTTTCAAGCTGAGTAAATTTTAACAAATGTTTAAGTAACAAATTAGTATTTCTAATGCTACCCTTTCTAGAAAACTTTTTTTTACGAATCTGTCAACCCCTCTCTCTGGCTCCATACTTGTGACAGGCATCATTTTGAGCCAAACAGATGGTTTGTGTACAGTGTTATATATTGTTACTAAAACGTGAATGAAACTGCATGTTTTGTGAGTGAGTGAGTTTAGTTTTAAGCATCTTTTAGCACTATTCCAGCAATATCACGGCGGCGGACACCAGAAATGGGCTTCAAACATTGAGCCCATATGGGGAATCGAACCCCGGTCTTCGGCGCGACGAGCGAACGCCTTAACCACTGTGCTACCCCACCGCCCCCGTACGTTTTGTGTTTTCTTGTAGACAATACATGATCTTACAGAAAACCATGCAGCGGTACTACGTACTGTTCGGGCACAGACACACACCGATGTTAGCATACAACTTTGTAAACATTACCGGAGGTGCTTAATCTTTTTCCAGATCTAAACATCATTGCTATCATTTCTAACCTCGTTTATTTTTACATCCGTGTCAATCTAAGATAGAATAAATGCCACTTAGTGTGAGGCTGTGAGAACTACTCATGCAGCCTTAAGATTAGACTGACGCTTTGTCTCTGCATACAGGTAATTTTGATAGAAACAAACAGTTCCTTTTAAATTGAAAAGGTGCTCCAGTGAGAAGGGAGCTTGAACCTGAGAAAATCTAAACTTGCTTTATATAGGACTTTAGATTGCAGAAAAGGCGTGGCCGAAGGGAACATAATGCGGTCCAGGGACTGTTAGGCAGACTACCATTGTATCAGTAGGTCAAATCAACTTTATTCGCCAACGTGTCAGCTCCACAGTGATAGGATTTTCATGTCAGTCAATGGCGTTACAATGTTAATGTGTACACAAAATCCAGTTTCAAAAGCAGCACTACTTAAACAAGTCTCCCACTGGATCATGTTCTCGAGATTAGAAATCGGGATATATTGTCCTGTACAATCCTTGAGAGAGTTTCACAGAAGCATACGCATAAATACCCAAAGCCTCGATATATCGGGACTATTTTTATCTCGAATTCGAGATGAAGGTTCTTATATACGTTATTTCAAAAGAGAACACAACATTAGTGTTGTTCGGGACAAGCGAGTTACCCTTACTCGAGGTTGTACTAACAAATTGTCTCGAAATGTTTAGAAATCCTGGGGTTGCAGTCACGTGTGGTCCACCATCGAGAGGTTGGGTCCAGTAAGCACAGGAAGTGACCCCCGCGACAGGCTTTCTCTATCAGGAAACACATGTGAAGTATGTGTCATGTTTGAGGTTTTAAGTTAAAGTTAAAGTTGTTAGTTAAATGGGGAGCAGAGGGTCGTAAACTTACTCAATCTGTCGCTTTGTAGCTTTAGCTACGGTCCCTATTGTGCTGATGTATTTATATCTACATTTATCTGAATGACTGTCGCAAGCCAATACTTGTCAGTCAGGTGCACTTGTCGCCACACTGTGGGGGACATTGTAACCTTTGTGTGATCAGCCGCTTTTCTTGATAGACCCGAAAGGAGACACATTCATAAGGGGCCAGCTGTGTGTGTTTTCACTGTGCTGTAAGAGGATAACTCAGTACAAACGTTTGATTAGATCGTGAAAATAGGAATATATCTTTCAGCATGGATTCTTTCTTTCTGACATGTAAACGTATTCATGAATACCCCCCGGCTTTGATGTTGCATTACCATTAAATGGTCCCTCCAGGTGGTTGCATCTTTTCAAAAAGAAACATATAATTATAACTGACATAAATCAAACCTCGTCTCCCCTGCAGCGATCCGTAGGTCAGTCCTCGCCATGAGCTGCCTTAAAACACCGACATTCACTCGTTTATCTGGCGACCTAGTGGTTAAAGCGTTTGCTTGTCACGCCGAAGACCCGAGTTTGATTCCCCACATGTGTATAATGAGTGAAATTCATTTCTGGTCACGGGCCCTCATGTCTTTGCGAGGATAAAAGATTTGAAAAAAATACATAAAATGTTTTGATGCCCCCATGTCGCAGTATATCTGAAACCATACGATAACAATGACTAGTTACACATCCTGAAACAAATATACCCCCATGAAAGTCTGTGATAGCAGTCTCGTTGCCACAGTTTCTGAAAATGAAAACGTCTCTTTTTACCGCTTCTTTCTGTAAAAGTATCTTTATTTCTGATATGAGATGTTTGTCTACAATACACACACCAACTAACTAATATCTGATATGGCTGAACGTGTTTGAATTTTCTTTGAACAGTATTGCGTGACAAAATGTATGCGAAGAGAAAGCGTTTTCAGGACTTCTGTATCATTAGAACAGGAACAGACATAGACACAGGATTCTATAAGTAGTTTTTCAACAATAGTTGAGACAAATGATAGTACTTGTGTTCTGTGATTTAGTTCATAATGTGAAGTGCCTTCGCGCATGGCAACAACAACCATCATAAGCATATAAAAAAATTATTAAAAAAGAAAATTCCAAAGTGTATTTTTTAAACATCTTTAATCGGTGTTAATCTGGAAATATATAGTACATCTTCAAGTTTAGCTTCGAGACCGAGCACCCGAAATACTTGTTTACCAGATTTCGAATACCAATTGTCTTGAACTGTTTTCGGTTTGTTTTTCGCTTTGTTGCAATCCATTCTAAAAGGCTGTTGCCCATGAACACACTACATTATTCATGTGTTTCCATAATGCTAGATGTGTCGCTGACACAATGGGATGCTGTTTCAGCGACCTGAGTACATCCATCATTTACATGTACCCACGTTTCTGTATGACGCTGTTCAACATGGGGGCAACGTTTGTTGGGGGAGCCACACTGAGATGGGTGTCGCAATAGTTCATGTTTATGTCACGTGGAGTGGGGCATTGTATATTTTTTTCATGCAATGTTATGTTGAGGATATTTTTTCAAGCGTGTAACACGCTGTTTCATTTCAAGAGAACAGTAGCCCGGACTCTGCATCCTCTGCATTATTAATTAAGTGTATTCAACACATTAATAGTTCTGCAGAATATATCCCGCCATGCATAACAGGATGAAAAGTCAGACCCGGATCTTAAAAACACATAACTAAAGCCGGCGACAAATACGTCACGTACCTAACACGCTTCGTGAAGCGTACACTGCTGGCTGTGAAACAGCTGTCGCCACTGCCCTGCGTGCTCTTGTTCATACATCCAATAGTAGCACGCCTTTCAAGACGAACATAACACCATCACTTATAGTCATCATGGACGATCAGGCGTTGAGTTGGGGAACAGGGTTTGTTGTTTGAACTGGATCCGGGAAATACAACGTTCACCCGGCGCCAGATGTTGGTCCATCATCTTCATAAACGTCGCGATTAGTGATGTTGTTATTCTCATCGGAGGTCGCAGATGTTGCCTCCCTAATGCACAAATCTAGCCTAAATGTGTGTCCAACACGATAATGATCGGCTTGACGATATTGATGTTTGATGGGGTAGTGCATGTAAACAATCTTGATTAATTATTGTTGGCAGATTTTCAACTACATGTGAGTCAGATTTGTAACGTACGGTGTCTGTGAGTGAGTTCAGTTTTACGCCGCTTTTAGCACTATTCCAGCAATATCACGGCGGTGGACACCACAAATGGGCTTCACACAGTGTACCCATATGGGGAATTGAACCCGGGTCTTCGACGTGACGAGAGAACGCCTTAACCACTAGGGCTGCCCCACCGCCCCTACAACTTGTCTGTAATGACTAGATAACATGTATAATTATTTAGCGTATCTTTTAACCTGTTCAGCGTACTTTCTATCACCGACATTTGTTTATGAGAATAACTCAGAGGACGAAGTTTAATGGCATGAACATATGATAATATATTATACTCGTATCTGAAAAATCATTGTTATTACAAATTAGTTGTATTGATTCACAGTGATGTTTTTAATTACACTTACAACCATTGATTGGCATTTAGAAGTGATATACATAAAGGTGGCAATAAAATTAGAAGGGTCGGGCGATGCGATGAGAAACACAAAAAATATAAATGCAGCCCTAATCCGAGGAGCACGGAGGAGTATATTCTCCCTCATCAGGAGAATGGAAGATAGGAAGCAGATATATGTCAATGTGAAACAGCAAAAGTGATAAAATAACAAAGGTGATTCAAGATTCAGGATTCTTTATTTCGGTATTATGGGCCAATTGGCCTATTGTACAATTACTATATCATTTTAATCACTTAGCCAAGTGATTTACAGGAATTATGTATGAGAAAAACATGTTTCAAGTACAAGGCAAACATATTCAATGGTGTTTATTTTTGTTAAGTTCAAAATTGACACCAAAATTTGCTTACTGTAGGCTGTACATTATATAGCCATGGTAGAAATTCTCCCGAATATGAGTATATTTTGGGCAAACAAAGGATACATGGTACTCATCTTCAATTTCATCACAATTTTTGCATACTATATCCACAATATTGCCGTCACATGATTTTCATCAACGATATCCATTACTCTTTAAAACATGTAATGCAATTCTGAATTTACAAAAACTTCTTAAAGATTTATCACTTATGTTTAACAGGTAGTACTCAGGTTGTAACACAGATTTAACACTTGCATAAAATGACAGACATTTGGATGAAGAAATATTATTATGCCAATCCCGTACACATATATCAAATAAACGTTGTTCTAGATTATGTATAATATAAGTTTTCATTCCCAACATCTTGGAAAAAATATACGAATGAGAAACTACAATAAAACAATAAAGAGCGAAATTTGCGAAACCCAGATATGCTTACCACTTTCATCCATTGACTTAAGCATTATATAGCACTGATATGGATACCTAGGTGGACATATGGAAAAGTTTTATCCAGTATTTAACAGCTCGTATTTTACTACTTACAAACATATTACAACGATCGGTTTCTCCAAGCACTGCCTTAGTTGAAGCATATTTACCAACAGAAAGAAAGTTTAAAGTAAGTAGTTTGAACTTTTTCAATGTCACTATGGTATTCTAATCCCCGTACCTCAGCTCCGTATTGTAATATTGGGGCTATTTTTGTGTCAAATATATTACATGTAGTTTTGAAAGACATATATGGAGTTTTTCTAAACAGGCTGAAAATAGAATGTAATGCTTTACTTGCTTGAGATGCTAATACTTTACAAGCCATAGACCAGTTCAATCTAGATGAAAACATGATACCTAAGAAATTATAATGAGTAACTGACTTCAATAGAGAACCCCCATAGTACCATTTTTCATTACGTTTCAATGCACCATCATTTCGAAATAGAATAATATTTGTCTTTTTCAAATTGACACGAAGTCCCCATTTGTTACAAAAGTTATACAATACAACAAAGGTGGACACTTAAGAAGGGAAGACTGACTGGTAAAGACAACGGGCAAATAGAAATTTAAGTGATTCTCTGAAAGAGGGCTGGTCTCAAGGGATGGCGACACTACATACATGACAACTGATGGGTGTACAGTTTTAGCGACAGCTTCTATAGGTCACGTACGCGTGGTACGCAGCGATTCGAGGCCTTTATAATGGAGACCACGGACGGATGGGATACATTTCTGAAAACACCGGATTCAGAAAATGCGATCGTATCAGTACGGTTGTAGCGACAGAACTTTAACTGTTGGCACGATTGTCGTAACTCCTACTATGACTGTCGTATCTCCTTCTATGACTGTCGTATCTCCTTCTATGACTGTCGTGTGTCCTACTATGACTGTCGTATCTCCTACTATGACTGTCGTATCTCCTACTATGACTGTCGTATCTCCTACTATGACTGTCGTATCTCCTACTATGACTGTCGTATCTCCTTCTATGACTGTCGTAACTCCTACTATGACTGTCGTATCTCCTTCTGTGACTGTCGTATCTCCTTCTATGACTGTCGTATCTCCTACTATGACTGTCGTATCTCCTACTATGACTGTCGTATCTCCTACTATGACTGTCGTATCTCCTACTATGACTGTCGTAACTCCTACTATGACTGTCGTATCTCCTACTATGACTGTCGTATCTCCTACTATGACTGTCGTAACTCCTACTATGACTGTCGTATCTCCTTCTATGACTGTCGTATCTCCTTCTATGACTGTCGTATCTCCTACTATGACTGTCGTAACTCCTGCTATGACTGTCGTATCTCCTACTATGACTGTCGTAACTCCTACTATGACTGTCGTAACTCCTACTATGACTGTCGTATCTCCTTCTATGACTGTCGTAACTCCTACTATGACTGTCGTATCTCCTTCTATGACTGTCGTATCTCCTTCTATGACTGTCGTATCTCCTACTATGACTGCCGTAGCGCTACGGTTGTCGTAACTCCTACTATGACTGCCGTAGCGCTACGGTTGTCGTATCTCCTACTATGACTGTCGTATCTCCTACTATGACTGTCGTATCTCCTACTATGACTGCCGTAGCGCTACGGTTGTCGTATCTCCTACTATGACTGTCGTATCTCCTACTATGACTGTCGTATCTCTTACTATGACTGCCGTAGCGCTACGGTTGTCGTAACTCCCACTACGACTGTGTGAGATGTGGTGATCTTTCCGCTGTGAACAGTGGTATCATGTAGTGGGAGTTCAATGAGCGAGGACAGCCCAAAGTGATGTCGGTCTTAACACTATAGACACTTGAAACATGAACTGTATGTTGCTGACGGACCTGTCCCATCATGTGTACAAACACCTGGGTTATCAACTGTCAGTGATTAATTCATATACTATGTTATGGGATGTTTGACTTGAAGGATTTACTTCAAATTTTGCAATCTCATAAAGACACTCAGTAATTCAATCGCCACGCAACCACGTACGAAAGATCCCGGAAACCATTTCTTGGGACGATTGCAAGTTGGCCAGACTGCACGGAGGGTAGCCAATCATTTTAATGTTCATGTAAGGACAATCTACCGACTGCAGAAGAGGTATCAAGCCTCTAACAGATTCCAATACCTACTTTCAGTAGCATCCCGACGTCAAGACCGACAGATTGTGCGCAACCACCTGCAGGATCGCTTCACCAGAGCGAAGGAAACATCACGCCAGACCATTGGGAGAGATCCATTAGTGCCGATACAGTGCGTCGACGTTTGGGCAGAAGAAACCTCTGCTGTCACAGACCATGCATATCGTGGTCCTGTCCTCAACGCTCGTCAAAGCCAAAACCTCCATTGTACAATTTTCGTCTACTCTTCGCGACTTGATCTCTGTCACATCGTGTCACAATGTAAAATCGTAACCTGGCTGATCAATATATGAAGTAAAGTCTGTCACTGGCCTGTCCATTCTCGTTCGAAACAAGAAACATATACTGTATATATTGCTATGCCGGTGATAAACAACATACATTCAAATTGTCCTCCCAGATGACGTCTCCCTGGACGGTACGTTTACCTGCACAACTGATGTGTTCGATAAGTTAAACCCATGCTTACCAGACAATTTGCATGAAACAGTAACCCCATTGGAAAACTGAATTAGCAAATCCTTTTATGTACAATGTACACTCTGCGCCCTTCCCACGGGAGCCATCTCGTTGGTGCCTCCATTAACTGTGGAGATTAATCAACATTGTACTTTAATAGTAGTATTGTTGTATAACTGGGTCATTCGAATCATAGTGGTAGAGACGATACATTTGGTAATTGCTTCACGTGAAACGTCAGTCACGTGTAACAGCTGCCTCGTCACGTGTTCCGTGACACGTATTCCCTGAACCATCGTAGCTTCTGGTCACATGACACCGGGTGTTCACGAAATGGACGAGCAGACACCATCAACATTCATCATTTGTCAGGGTCCTCTTATCGTCAATGTAAAGCAATACGTTTGAGATATTCATGGATAGCCAACATATTCAATGTGTTATTACCAACAGTGTGAACAGTGACTGAAACTATTCAAAACTGAAGTATATACATATTGATATACTAAAAAGTCTTACCTACCTGACAACCTACCTTCAAACATACATACATAGATTCATATTTCAGCACTATCACTCTTCATGGAAACTTGCCATAGGCGATGAAGGATGGGTTCGTGGATATGAGAGCCATGCAGGCAGTTATCCAACTGGGATGGTGAAGTATTTCAGAAACGGCATGCAGCTGAGTCAATGGTTCAGTGTTTATCACTTATCGTTCCCACACAATACCACCGCACACTCGCGTGCTTCCTTCAGCCTGTGCACAACTGAACCTTTTCTTCAGGTAAACTTCACAGTTTACGTGAGGATAATTTTTGGCACCAGACGAGATTAGCATTCCAACTTATAAAAGACACATTTTATTTTGTGATTTCGTAAAAGGTTGTATGATCTTATAGTCAAAAGCGTCTCACTCACCTCAAGGTAGTTCCGGAAAGTGTGATTCCAATTTATCTATTTCAAATATCTCAAGTACACTATCATTGAATGCGTGATATCATGGAAGACAGGAATATGAACTTCATTGTTTCGTTGTTTTAAACCCTTAAACCAATGGGGGCGATGGGGTAGCCTAGTGGATAAAGCCTTTGCTCGTCACGCCAAAGAACCAGGTTCGATTCCCCACATGGGTACAATGTGCAAATCTCATTTCTGGTGTCCCCCGCCGTGATATTGCTGGAATATTAATTAAATCGGCGTCAAACATCTCAACTCATTCACTCAACCACCCATTGCAAACAGCCGATCGAGCAACATCCATTGTCACGCATGACGTCCTTAGTTCAGTGATAAATATGTTTGTACACTGATGACTTCACTGATTTAAGTGATCCTTTTATCTTCAGCACTGTTTTTAATCTGAGCTCATTAGGGATTAATTCAGTGGATAAACGAGTAATTATTTGACATCTGTTGCGTGGAGAATAATACGTTAGATATAAATCCATATAATATTGTCACAGGTCCGCAGGTGATATTCATCTATAACAGTGGCAGTGAAATATTCGTATCGTTGTATGTATCGTTCACCCATAACATCGATCATAGAGACATGCATGACATGTGACAGATGTCACATGGTATAACTACGTAGTATGATTGTATAGATAATCGTTCATCTACAGTCAGTACCGTCACGGATGCTTTGTTTCGAGCATGGAATGTTTTTTTTTAGCGACACAGTCCAATCTTAGCATCCCACCTCGTCACATGTATACGCACATACACATGCACATACACGCACGCGCACACGCACATGAAATAGTAGTCAAGGTGTTGTGACGATTAGTGGCTGTAAGTGTCTGGTAAGTTGAAATTTATTAAGATGTTGAGGTATACACCTTGATGACATACTGTTGATTAACTCGAGCATGATTGCCTCGAGACTTGCCCACCGCACAGGCTAAAGACTAGTCATATTGGCGGGTGTTAGAGCAACGACTGGACGCAAAATGTAGTCAACGTATAGTGAGTGATATAGCAATATTCCAGCAATTTCACGGAGGAGGACAACAGAGGCTTCACACATTGTACCCTTATTGGGAAGTGAACCCGGATCTCCGGCGTGACGAACAAACGCTTTACCCACCGCCTCAGTCAACATGCAGCAGGAAGGTAAAATTTCCAAATCAGTTCGCGTTTCGTGTGTAATACGGCCCTAGACACTCCTCCTCTTTACCCATCATGGCCAAGAAGTGTTGCCCTGCCAGACATGCGCTCGTTCAAACATTACCGACACACATTCTGTGAATATGAGTGAAAACTATCAAGGTGGTGTACAACGACTGGCGCATAGCCCGACCCTGGTGACGCCGAGACCACACCAGTCTCAGTATGATGATCTTATATATACCCCACAGGGAGTTGTTTTAAGTTTAATCCATTATATCACCCTGCAATCAAATAGTATATTTTCGTTCACTCAAGACAAGATTACAATTGTCCGATTTGAACTCTCGCTCAATGCAGGAATTTCTGAATTTCGCTCACCTAAGATTAGGAGATGTCCCCCATAATGCCCCATTGTCTAAGGAATAGCACGCTTCATTGCTTTGCCTACCTTAGACAATACCTGTCGGCATTCAGGGAAGTACCCTCTTTACCGCCTATGGTATACCTTAGGATCACACCCTCCACAGGACGCCACAGTTGGGAAATTACACTAAAATTTGTCAATCATTCTGGCAACTTGAGGTATTAACGCCCCCTTCTGTTGTATCCACAGGCCGTCATTTTGCCCTTTCAATGAGATAGTAAGCATGTTCTTAGACAGACAGACAGATAGACAGACAGATTTATTTCTGTAAAGGGCTATTGGCCCAAAATACAGTCTTTACAGAATGTTAAACTTATGTCCCAGGCAATAAAGTAGTATTCATCATTTACCTTAATCTTTGGACTTTCTCCAGATAATGACATATATAAATAGATAACATTATTATTTGTTGAGGACATCAAATTTACAAAGTGTTGTATAGCCTTCGGTTATTTAAAAATGTAACAGAAGGTCTGAAGGCAAGTATGACATACCTCCCTGTACTGTAACACAAGGTCTGAAGGCCAGTGTGATATACCTCCCTGTACTGTAACACAAGGTCTGAAGGCCAGTATGACATATATCCCTGTACTGTAACAAAAGGTCTGAAGGCCAGTATGATATACCTCCCTGTACTGTAACACAAGGTCTGAAGGCCAGTATGATATACCTCCATGTACTGTAACAAGGTCTGAAGGCCAGTATGATATACCTCCCTGTACTGTGAACACAAGGTCTGAAGGCCAGTGTGATATACCTCCTGTCTGAAGGCTGTAACAAACACAAGGTCTGAAGGCCAGTATGATATACCTCCCTGTACTGTGACACAAGGTCTGAAGGCCAGTGTGATATACCTCCCTGTACTGTAACAAGGTCTAAAGGCCAGTATGATATACCTCCCTGTACTGTAACAGGTCTGAAGGCCAGTATGACATATATCCCTGTACTGTAACACAAGGTCTGAAGGCCAGTATGACATATATCCCTGTACTGTAACACAAGGTCTGAAGGCCAGTATGACATATATCCCTGTACTGTAACACAAGGTCTGAAGGCCAGTATGACATATATCCCTGTACTGTAACACAAGGTCTGAAGGCCATTATGATATACCTCCCTGTACTGTAACACAAAGTCTAAAAGTCAGTATGACATATATCCCTGCACTTTAACACACGATGCTTCCTGTATTATCACGAGGGATGAGTGGTATCAATGTTTGATGATATATTTCCACACAGAAGTATTACATTACCAAGCATCGACTATGTTATAACCACAGATATTGATTCTTCAGGCTGAAGACAAAGTAGCCATTGACTGCTCACAGCTCAGATCACAGGTTTATTGACTAATGTGCCAGCGTTCACGGATATTATAACCGGATCCTGCTGGTCGGGCCTTGTAATACAGAGCTGCTCAGTTTGTAATGTGACCCGTCACAACATCAAAACTTCCTGGATAACCATGGTTACGTTTCTGTGGGTTATATAGCAATACCACAGTGCCTCATGGAGTCTTTATAAGCAGAGGTTTCAGGTCAGGATGACCCAGCAGTGTGTGCGTTTGTTCATGACTTCAGTCACTCGATTATTTACTGACCGCTGTTCAGTGTAGGTAGAAGCAAGGCTGTCAGTTAGCGACCGAAGCTCTAGTACTTTAACCGACCATGTCAACGATTACACTTCCAGTGCTGTAAGTGTAACATCTCTGTGATCTTCCCGATATTGAAATTGACTTGTCGCGCTGAGCTTCGGGTTGATCCTAATAGCAACATATTGCCCTGCTTGAGCAAAGTGCATGCGCAGTCATCTGCAACATGAATCACTTACTACGACACTTGGAACCACACCAGGGAAGGGTTTTTTTACACAATTGCATCCGTCGAAAGTGTCTCCGATCTTCTTCACTGTAAATTATAACAGCCCTTAGAAAGGCCAATCAGTTATATACAGTACAACCAGAAATTATTGAGAATTTAAAGATTGTAATTTTTTATATATTTTTCACTCATTACTCACGTATTAATGTGAATATTAGCGGAAC